TGCTCTGCATGACTTAAAGCAAATATAAGGAAGTTAGCATGAAATCTGGATGAGAAAGATATGATTCATTCCGTAAGAATAGCCAGCTGGCAAGGTTTCTTCCTGCGTCTGAGGACTGGAGCAGAGCCTGAGCTGTGGTAGTTATTGGCAACTTCATGTGAAGTAAAGTCACTTCTTATCAATAATTAGAAACTGATTTTCAGTGCTTTGAAAAAGCACAGGCACACTAAGGCTTTGTAGAAAGTAATTCCTTCTTTTGCCAGCACCTTTGGCATGTTTCCTCTCCTCTCTTATTCCCCTCCCCCTTCCTTGTTTTTTTCACTTCACTTACCACTTGTTGCATTTCTTTAGATGGTGAGCCAGGGTCTGTAGTGGAGGTAGTTTCCATATTACAGAGCAAGTAGCATATTGTGCATGTTCAGCATATGCTGTGGGTATGCCTGCTTAGCTGGCATTTCGGTTATCTGACAGTGATCGGAGAATATTTTCCAGTGAAAGGAGAATGTCACACATAGTAAGCAGTACCTGCTTCAGACATCATAGATAAACTGTCTATATATTGTAATAGCAATGGCTTTTCCATATCTTCATTCCATGATCCTGAACCAGCTGTGCGACACAGCTTCAGTGTTTGAGAGCCCTTGGCATGGACTGTGGTTGACCATTAGCTTTTCTTTCTTACAGATGTTCAGGCGGTTGCTTATGAGGAACCCAAACACTGGTGCTCTATTGTCTACTACGAGCTCAATAACCGTGTGGGTGAAGCGTTCCATGCCTCCTCCACAAGTGTGTTGGTGGATGGCTTCACTGATCCTTCCAACAATAAGAACCGTTTCTGTCTTGGGCTGCTATCCAATGTTAATCGGAATTCCACTATTGAAAACACTAGGCGGCACATCGGAAAAGGTGAGTTTTCACTTTGACGTCTTTGTCTGTTGTGTCCCTGTTCCCCAGAACTGCTTAGGCTTTCCTGTAGCAAACTAGTGTAGCAAACACTGCTAGACAGTACGTACCTGCCGCAGTTTGTAAATATTTTCCCAGTTTGCATTATCAGGAAGTTCACCTTCCAATCAGTGATTTTTGTGGTCTACCACTCGTAATAATTGGTAGTAATTAGCTGAGATGGTGATTTGCTGTTTGGGAACACTAGTCTATCCTATCTCTTGCTACAGAATAGAATTGCTGTTAAAAAATTGCTTACAGCCTAAAACTAAAAGCAAATTAAAACAAGTAAACCTAATGTATTTTAGATGAATAGCATAACTCCCTGGGGGGGGGGGAGAAAGAATTAACCCAAAACAACTTATCAATGTAGTATTTAGCTATATATCCTCAGTCTGAGGCAGGTAGGGTAGAGTGATTGCAAACGAACCCTGTTTTTAGTAGACTTGATTATTTAGTAGCAGTATGAATGAATCAGTTCTGAAACTTTTAGATTGTAGTATAAGATTAAGCAAATGACTAAATGTGTAGTATTGTTTGGAGCCTGTGAAATAAGGTTTTCACTGTGAAATAATAGATGTATAAGTGTGGAGAAGGGCAAAAAATAAACCCTGCGGAGGTATCAGTGTGAAATCATGACTTTAATGTGTATGTATGTGTACATGCATGTTTATGATCTCATGTGTATGTATGTGCATATGCTGAAGTGTCTATCATGCAGATAGTTTCTGATCTGTCTGCTGAAAGGGCCAAGAGGCAAAGATACCCAGTAGCAATAAGTATATCTAGCGCTCAGATTATCATCTCTAGCACCATTTCCCGCTAAGAGGAACCAGGGCTGACTCTAGGGCTGGGACAGGTAGGCACAAGATGAGCTTGGAACATTTTGTTATATCAGGGTCAGGAAGTAAAAAAAGGCTTAGGAAAAGGATGGGGCATGTCACAGGAGCCCACTTGGAGGGGCTTTCACTAGCCATCTCTAGGATAATTTGAGCACCTGAATTAAAGTACAGTAATGACTTTTAAACCAGTGAAAAACAATAGTTATTCGTAAGTCCATGCCATAAATAAATAAATAGGGAAGGATGATTGATAAATGTAGAGTGAGTGCTGGCGTTGGAAAGTCATTTCGTAGCCAGCAGGCAGAAATCATTAATGGATACTAAATATAGAGAGAATTTTTTTAATGAAAATCAGGATATTTGAATGACCTTAAAGTGTTTCCTCACGGGCTGCCTATTAGTTTCAAGGGAGAGTAAAAATCAGTAATTATACAGTGGAGAAACTGAACAACATCTTGACTGAGAGATCAAAACTGTCATCACTGGTGGGAGACAGATGGATGTCAGAGACCTCCAGACGTGGTACCCTGAGAAGGAAATAACATCGCCTGTGCAGAATTGCAGCTGAGAATGCAAATCTAAATCTAATCATCAGGGAACTAAAAACAAATCCAAAATAAGGAACATTTTGTTAAAAAGTGAAGATGGACTGTATTCTCCCAACATATCAAGGTCAAAAGACAAAGATGTGAGATTACACCAAATTAATAGAGACTAAAGAAATAGAACAGCTCTATGTTATAACCTGACCCTGGACATGATCCTGTAACAGACAGGGGGAAAAATACTACAAAGGCCGTTATTGGATCAACAGGTAAAATTAGAGTATGAGTGGTAGATTAAAGTGTTTATATCAATGTTAAATGTACTGGCATTGCTGATATACTGTGGCTGTGTAAGAGAATACCCCTATTAGGAAATGCACACCTCAGTATTTAGGGGTAATGGGCCATGATGAACTGGTTCAGGAAGATGTTACATACCGGGGGTGCCAAAAAAATGCATGCACATGACTTGTATTCATCTTTTGTAATCAGTATATATTGAGTATTACAATTTTAATACAGTTTTTTTTCTTTCTTAAAGTGTGTATACATTTTTTTGGCACCCCCTGTATATATCAATCTAAAATAATCCTTTGTTAGAATATATATGTGTGTGCATATGTGAACATGGAGGTGTATATATGCATATATGTATGTATGTATGTGTATATGAGGGTGTGTGTGGAAGAGTAAGGGGGAGAGGGCTACAAATGATAAAGCATGTGGAGTAAATCGCCACAGTAGATGCATCTGGATGATGGTTATGTGGGTGTTCCTTGTTCTATTTTTCTTTGTTGTTTGTTCTGTTTCTGTAAGTTTGAAGTTATTTCCAAAGCATGTGTTTTTAAAAATGACCTACTATAAAATTTACAACAGTGGACCAAATTAAAAGGTTAATAGACACTTAAAATACATTTGAGATAAAGTATAACATTTAATCCTGAACAAAAAAACAACAGGAATTCATAGATAGTTCCTTAATATGATTAAGAACGGGGAAAAAAAAACCCTAAACTACACATTTAATGATGAAATGCTTAGGTTCATAACATAGATATCTTTCTATGGTCTGTAAACCCCTGAAATTGTAGATAAACACAGTTTTGCATACATTGGGACAGAGGGACATTTTTTTCACTAAGTTCTCACGTTGACCATTGCCCCGAAGAAGTAAAAAGCCATTGTGCTCTGGAACATTCCTATTAAAATTAGAAAGGAAATAAGAATTCTGGGAATACTGTTATTTAAAATTCTTCCACATGCGTTGAGTAGTTTACTCAAACGTAGAATTACAAATAATGTAAATAAACCAAAATGATCGTTATTTGCAGATGATATGATTAATTGGTTGCTAATATTCTTTGGATAGATTCAAGTGAAATTAGTAGGTCAGATTTGATGTATTTGGCCAAATTACTTTCCAGGAGGCTTTTATTAATTTCCACTTGTATCAGAAGTTTATGAGTGCCTTTCCTCCTTCTCCCCTGTCCATATTACTTATGGTCATTGTGTCAATTCAAGTGATATGATTTTTTATCTAGAAACCTCTAAAGAACCTATTTTTAGAAATTATTCATCAGTTTCCTTTAATCTGGCAATAACCAGTTAGAAAATATACTGGAGGGGAAAATTACATTCCCAGTAGCAACAGAAAACATAATTTTGGGGGAAATAATTGGAACCAGCAATATGTGAGGTTTATAAAAAGAAAACCAAATTTTACTGAGAGAAAAAAAATTTGAGTAAATAAATATGCAGTCTGTGTTTCTTAAAGAGAAAACCTAGTATTGTAAGAACATTTTGAGGATATTCATTCTTCCTAATTTAATTTATAATTTAAAACAATCCATGTCAGAATCACAATGTGATGTTTTTTGAAAGTTGGAAAATGTATTCTGAACATAAACAAGTGAAAATAGCTACATTTTTTTAATGGGAGAATGAAGAAAATATTCTTGATGTTAAAGTTAATAAAACATTGTGAAACTACAATTAAATCAGTGTGTAGACAAAACAGTAGAATAAATTAAGCTCAGACTATACTGTATTTAAAAATTTAATGTATGGTAAGTGAAGCATAACAAATCAGTTATGGTCCTGCAATAACAAAGTTAGCTTTTGGGTGAGGCCGGGGGTTGAAACCCTGACGTCATTCCATATATGCAAATAGATTGAGTTGAATGTTTTTGAAAAGGCAAGCTATCATAAAGCTAGAAAATATATTTGATCAGAGAGGTAGAAATTTTCTAAGCATAAAAAAAACAGTAGAAAAGATCATAAGAGATTTGACTAACAAAAGATTTCAAACTTATATAGGTTTAAAAAAAATACCATGAACAAAATTAAAAGACAAAGGACTAATGAGGAAATAAATAAGAAATTATTTATATCTTTCCCACATGTGCAGATCATAAAAAAAATTCTTAAAAATATAATACTGGAACCCCACTTGGATAAATAGGCAAGAAATATGAACAGTAAATTCATAAGAGAAGCATAGATGGCTAATAAACATGAAGTCATATCCAACCTCATGTGCAAATTAAAACAGTATTGTTTTTCAGCTTTAAAATAGGGAAATTTTGTTTTTGTTTTAAATTCAGACTCAATACTGGCATGAATGATATGAGAGAGGTACTCATACGCTACTGGTGAGGGCGTAAATTGATAATACACATTCTGGAAAGCCATTTGGCAAAGTGAATCAAGAGCCTTCGATCCAATGATTTAACTTCCAGGAATCTCTTCTAAGGATATTATCAAAATGATCCAGACACATTTATCATGGCATTGTTATAATTGCAGAAAATTAGTGTGAACACACTGGTCCAGTAATGGGAGTATCCTTAAATAAATGGTAGTAGGAGATACTTTAAATGTTTGCAAAGAAAGTTTAATGATACTAAAAACCGAATACAGTGTATCAAACTGTTAACAGTTCTTCCTTCTAGGTCACAAAGGGGTGAAAATATTCTCTCCTTTATATTTTGTTTTACTTTATAGATTTTCTAACATTTTCTCATTTTTACGATTGAGAGAAAAAGTAAAAAACAAAACACACAACACACACTCTTAAATTGTTTTCTCTACGTGAGACAGAAAAATGGGCTTCTGCTCCAGCAGCTATTTGTTACAGAAATCTTAGGCATCATGTGTGCATATAAACACAATACCTGATATTTTGTAGGAGACGGTGGTGTTAGCGTTGCCTAAGCCATGCCATAGTTCCCTGCAAGGTAGATTGTTTAAAGCCACATGGGATGTGACCGTGTTTGCTGGGTGGCCTGTAATAAAGTAATCGCCCTTAGTGGTGTGGGGCCTTGCCAGAATGGTTTTCTCCCCCCTTTCCTTTATTTAAAGTCTGGGTAAGATCAATTTCCTACACTCCTGGCACTCTAGCTCTCACAGGAAGAAGTTTGGAGCAGATGGTAGTTCAGTGAGATCAGATTCCACACAGTATGAGTAATTTTTCTAGTTTTTTTTTTTCCTCTGGACCTTACATCTTACAGCTCGCAGCAGTACTTCCTCCACGTGTGGTTTGCTAGCTCTTTTACTTTGTTCGATCCTCCCTTCTCCTACCCTAAAAATGTTCAAACAGCTTAGCTGCAAAGTAAATGCCAGAGAACTATGGTATGAATACTTGCAGGAGCCCATAATAAAGGCCAGCTTTCCTGTGCTCTGTTTTCCAAGTGAGAATATGCTTTCAATCCAGGGCCAAATAGGGCATTAAATGCTTATCTAAATGAAATTGCTGCAGTTTGTTACGGATTTTTAAGAGACTTTGCTATATTACTTCCTAGAGACCTAGACACGCATGTTGACATATGGACATTGTATTGACTAATACAGTTAGCTAAGATTTTCACGGTTGTGCAAGAGTTGGAGAATATTTATCTAATTAGCCAAAGTTTAAATCCATGTAAATTCATACACTGAAGCTACACAGATGCTTTTCCCCTGCAGAAACCGAGAATGGCTCATTCTATGCTTTGTCTTCCTATAGGAGTCCATCTTTATTATGTTGGAGGGGAGGTATATGCCGAGTGCCTCAGCGATAGTAGCATCTTTGTGCAAAGTCGGAACTGCAACTACCATCACGGATTTCATCCTACTACTGTTTGCAAGATCCCGAGTGGGTGCAGTTTGAAAATTTTTAATAACCAAGAATTTGCTCAGTTACTGGCACAGTCTGTGAACCACGGCTTTGAGACCGTCTACGAGCTCACAAAAATGTGTACTATACGCATGAGCTTTGTGAAGGTGAGTGAGCTCTGACTCCCCTGGTTGGGGTTTAACACACCTGTGCTTTCTCCCAATATGTCAATCTGTTTCCTCTTGATACTTGTCCATAGAAGCACACTTATTATCTAGGCATGTTTAAACTTAAACAAGTTATTAGGTGAATACAGCAGGTCCTCGAATAACATCATTTCATTCAACATAATTTTGTTATGACATTGATGAGATACCACAGGGACTTAACTCTTGTTTCTATCAATTCGCCTGTGGTGAAATTGGTTTCATTATATGTCATTTCATGTAAAGTTGAAAAACATTAAGTAAGTACTTATTGTATCATCGAAATAACACAAAATATGTTTGTGTTAAGTGTCAATAGTAGTAGGCTTTAATAACCTTATTCGAATAGCACTATTTTAGCTATTGTAATACCATTACAGTATGTTATGATCTATACTTAACGTATATCGTTTAAATGTATGATTGTCTTTGGAAATCAGTTCAATAAACACACACCCCCTTCCTTTTCTTTTCATTCTGTGTTTTTCATACTTTTGTGATGGTAACACCTCTTGTTTTTGTTTCAACAAGAAGCAAGTGATCTTTTTGTAAAAATAGTTCATCACATGGGATTTATTTTTGATTGGTCGGGGTTTTTGTTTTGTTTTGTTTTTTTAGTGGTTCCTATAAACCTCATGATTTTCTTACAATTCAAAAGTTAAATAGGCCTTTGCCCAAAGATAAATAGATGCCGTTAGCTCTAAGATGGTCTTGTAAGGTTTGAGGAGGAGAAGGTTACAGACATCGCTCTCAGTAACTGATCTCTTTGTTGCCTCCTCTTATGCCTCTAGGAAATAAAAAAAAATTTAGGATGCCATCAAAATGTAAAAAAATTAAAATGTCTGATTAGATTTCATGAGTCAGTAACTTATTCTAGTGAGAGACTTACCTCTGAATTCTCAAAGATAAATTTTATCCTCTGTTACCTTGAGAAACAAAATTAATTATATATTTGGGTGAGGCAACCAGCTTTCATGTCCTCTCTTCAGAAGCTCACCTAACTTGTTGTTAAACCTGTTTTGTAATGTATTTATTACAGAGGGCAATTTTGGAACCTGACTTGTTAATCATCCTTTAGATCAAAGGTATCTTTCCCTAAATATCTTTTTTTACCCTTACTTCTTTGAATCATATTAGCAGATTTTCAGTGTATTCTCGTGTTTGTTTTCTCGAAACATAATTCTACGATGCCTCATAGCTGAGCCTCACACCTTTTTAGTATTAAAAGAGGGGTTTTTTGCCTTTTGAAGAGGTTTACTTGTATGTTTTGCACCTATGAGACTACAGAGACCTTTCTCATCCTTTGTTAACATTTACATTTAATTTTTACTTAGCATTTTGGCTAAAATGGCTTTTAAAATGAGGGCAGTGACTTGCCAGCATTGCTTTTTGTGTGCTGTTTTTATTGATGTGGAAGAAAGACTAAGAGATCCAGGTTCTCACTCTGTGTGCCATTTGAACTGTGCGGTTAAGGCATGAGGATTCTTTTCTGGCCCTCGTGGTCCTTATCTTTAAAATGGGTGGATGGAGTCGAGAACTGTGACAGTCACTACTAAGGCCCCTTGATGAGTTTTTTATTATTGAAGGACCACTCTAGAAGGATTTATGACTCTTACTGCTCAATTAGCTTTCTCCTCAAACTCATTTCATATTGATTACCCAATCTTAATTATTTTACTTGTACACATTTTTATTATTTACTTTTACACAAGTAAAAACAACCTTTACACTAATAAGTGTTTATAGCACAAGGTATGCATTAAAAATGTATTAGATTTCATTCAGCAAATACTTTTAGTACTATTCCAGAGAATTAACACAAAGGTGAAAAAGCACCTAAAGTCTCTAGCTTCAAGATGCTTATGGCCTAATATGTGTTTAATTATAATGTGGTAAGTGCTGGAATGAAGAGTTAAGGATAAACGAAGCTTATTTTGAAACTTGTGATGACATGATAAAGGGTAGCTGCTTATCATACATTAGCAACAAGACATTTGCACCCTGTACAGCATTGTTCTGTATTATCGTAAGGCCTGGATACTTTGCCCTCTCACAGTTAGCATCTTAGAGAAATGGTACAGAACATTTGACTAATATCTTGTGCTATTTGCAAGATGACCATTTTTGGACTTTAACATAAAATACATATTTTATCAATTATTTGCACAGTAAACTCTGAAAAGTCCCATGTCAGATCAGCTGAGCAAGTATTTCTGTAGAGTTTCTGCTTTGTGCCAATCACTGTGCTAGATGTTGGAGATCAAAGATAAATAAAACCTGATCCCCGCCTTCAAAGAAATAGAACCCAGTCTTCTCTGATACTCCTCATGAAACAAGGGTTTATCAGAACTTCATATTCCATTGTCCACTACACCAATGAGTTACTGATCTTTGCAGTAGCAAAATTACTTTTCTCTTTCGCATAGTGACTTTTCTTCTTTGCAAACTTAGTGTCTTAATTCAATAATTCTGAAGACATCTGGCAAGCTACCTTCTTGTACAAATGAATAATGGAATCTGTTGATTCAAGGCAACGAATAGCTGTCAATATTAGCTTTTTGTGCTTCTGCCAGTTTTGCTTAGAGATTAAAAGCTCAAGAAATCTGTGTTGATAGGAGGACCTTCAGTGGCTGCATAGGGAAGAAACAGCATGTCAGTTTGTCTAACATACCTTTTTCTTTATTTTCTTGAGGATAAAATGAGAATTTAATAATATTTATTACAATACTATCAGTAACATAATGGGCAATGAAAATGAAAGTTTAAAACTGTCCTTATTAAAACAGCCTTGTCATGTATTTGAAAACATTCCTTCCCCAAGACCAGTACCTCTTAATCCAGAGTCCATAGATGAATTTAAGGAATCTGTGAACACACTCTGAAATTGCCTGCCAAACTGTGTGTTCGTTTGTGCGTGGAAAGCACCCATATCTTTAAGTGTCTGATGATGTGAAGTCTTTTTCCTTAATAAGTTCTAACCACTGAGTTAAGCAAGTTGAATGACCTCCAATTTGTTGTTTCTAGGGTTGGGGAGCAGAATACCACCGCCAAGATGTTACTAGCACCCCCTGCTGGATTGAGATCCATCTGCATGGCCCCCTCCAGTGGCTGGATAAAGTTCTTACTCAGATGGGTTCACCTCACAATCCTATTTCTTCTGTGTCTTAAATGGCCCCAGGCTTCTGCCTCTTGCAAACTATTGAGCCTTGCATGTACTTGAAGGATGGATGAGTCAGACACGACTGAGAACTGACAAAGAAGCCTTGATAATACTTGACTTCTGTGACCAACTGTTGGATTCAGAAATTTAAAAAACCTTGGTAACATACTGTTGATATCAAGAACCTGTTTAGTTTACATTCTAACATTCTATCGTAAAATCACCTACAACGCCTACATTTAGCAGGACTTTGTGTATAGTTAAAGGAGAGATGGCCAAGCCAGGGACAAATTATCTGTTGGAAAAAACGGTCCTAAGAGATTCTTTTGTGTTTGGCACTTTAAGGTCATCGTTTGGCAGAAGTTTAGCATTAATAGTCTTTCTGAAGTGTGTGTTTTTTTTCAGGTCTAGAGCCCGTGTTGAGTCTTCTGTTCATGGGTTTTCATAATATTTTAAAACTATTTGTTTAGTAATGGTTTTTGTTTGTTTGTTTTTTTAAGTAACGGTTAATCTTGATGATATACATAATAATCTTTCTAAAATTGTATGCTAACCATACTGCTGTCAGAATAATGTTAGGCATATGCTCTTTGCTAAATATATCTGTACAGAATATTTGGAAGTTAAGAATTAATTAGACTAGTGGATTTAGGAGTATTTGAGGGGGTGGGGGGTACGGGAAATGACAACTGCAGATGTAGAATATACTGTAAAAATTCAGTTTGCTGTTTTAAAGAAACAAACTGATGTCTGAATTTTGCTGTGTTTCAATTTTTTAGAGATTTTATCTTACTTTTTTTTTTTTTTTTTTGCATCTTCTATCTCATTCGCTCCAAAAAGCAGTTATGCAGCTGGTTAATTCATATAACTGTGAGAGCAAATGAATAATTCCTGCTATTCTGAAATTGACTGCCTATATGTTTCAATATCAGTTGTATGGAGTGCTTGAATTTTAATAAGCAGTTTTTATGGAGTTTACAGTAAAAAAATAGGCTTTAATTTTCAAGTGAATTGTTTGCCAAACCTAGTAACTCTGTTAAATATTTGGAGGGTTTCAAGAACATCCTTGTTTAAATCCATTTCAGACTTTTTAAATTTTTTTGTACTCTGTTTGGTTTTATTTTTCTTCTGCTAATCTTTTATATTCACTTATGCTCTCGTACATTGAGTACTTTTATTCCAAAACTAGTGGGTTTTCTCTACTGGAAATTTTAAATAAACCTGTCATTATTGCTTACTTTGATTAAAAATTTGTTGTTTCCTTTCTTCACACGTTAGATTTTACGATCCATAAGATTCACTACTCTCTTGAGAGATTTTTCTCAAATACTCTTTGCCAAACGTAACAAACTAAATTACAAACACAGAGACAGGGAGACTGAATCGTGAAGAGAACAGACTCACTATTTAATCAGAAAGGAGGAGACATGTGGAACTTTAAAATTTAAGAAAGAACGAACTAGCAAACTCCGGAATTCCTGATGTAAATATATAAACTTTGTAATGTGAGGAATTACACCAGCAGCAATTATTGGTGGGTACCATTCAGTCAACCCAAAGTACCCCCAATTTCTAAACTTCAGTTGGGATGCAAGGGTGAATGTGAAAGGATGTAATATTGGGGGTCGGGGGAGGAGAACTAAACTGCAACAAGACAAAATGATTACAGCAGGCTCTCTAATAATGTAGTTTTGTTTGTTATAATGTTGATGAAATGCCACAAGAACTTAACCCTTATTTATATCAACTAGGCTATGGTAAAATTGGTTTCATTTACAACATTTCACTTACAGTTGCAGAAACTTAAGTGAGGACTTATTATACTTTTACAGTCTACTCGGCCTGGAGTGATCCCATCCTCTGTCCAAACCCACTTCCATCCACTCCGTACCCCACCCCCAAAACAAAGTTTGCCCATTACAGACGCAGATTTGAGGAGATTTAGATCCTTCCCTGGCCAAATAGATGCCACTCTTTCTCCTTTCCATTTTTATACTTCTTTCAAGAGTCATTTACCAACCCCCTTTAGTCACCAAATTATGACCAAGCAGAAATGTCTACTGCACCTTGCTATCTCCAAAAACATCATGGTGCAAATGGAGAAAACCTGGATAGAAGGCCTATGTTATAACACAAATTCATGCGTGTCTTTGCTGAATCACTCAGCTTCTGTGAACCTCTGTTGTCTCTTCTGTAAAATGGAGATGATATGCCCTTATCACAGAGTTGAGGTGAGATCTATTGGAAGAAACATCTCTGTGAAAATACCTTGGTAACATAATTGCCGTATAAAGTATAAGGGTCACTGTTTTCTGTTTTTTTTTGTTTTTGGGGTTTTTTTAGCGCAAAGTCGTTATCTGGCCCGGCCTGCCCCTGGGAACCCTCCAGGCGGCTCCACGCAGTATCTGTGCCTTGCCCGGCCCCGGGACGGGCACAGCCGCCTGCTCCCCACCTGGGCTGCCGAGGGCTGCTCTACCCCTCGGTTCTGGCTGCCGGGAGCAGCAGAGCTCTGGGCGGGCAAAGCTCGAGGGGACGGGTCACTGTTTTCTTGAACCCTCCCTCGTACTGTTTTCCCACTTACCTGCTAAACCATTTCTGGCACAGGTGTCCTGGGCTGATGATGGTGATTGGTGGGATATAATAAATGAAGATTAATAAATTAAAACTATTGGGCTTCAACAATGAGGTGTAACTGGAAATTGTATGAAATTAAAGAGGTCAGGTCAGGGTTTCTCACCCTTTTCCTAGTGAATGTCAGTTTTCCCCCAAGTTCCCGTGGCTGCCTGACAGGACAGTCATGCAAGCTGATAGTTGTGTGTAGCAGCACTGGTAGCTCGGAGGTCTAGCCCAGGAAGAAACCGCAGCATCATCAGGAGATTGAAGCCTACAGGATTGGCAGCCTCAGACTTTGCAGCCCCATGCATAACTTTGCTCGTGTGCATCTATTTGTATTTTTGGTAAAATCTTGGGCAAAACCATTGTCATCAGCCATAGGAAGCTGTTAAGTTTCTTGGAAGTTTTCAATCAAAGGAATGAAAATGTGAAAGCAACTATTTGTTTGATTACTAGTAAAGAAGCTAGTTCCAACAAAGCAAAACAACGCGAACTGTCTCATAGTAGACGTATTTTCTGCCTCTAAGAGACAGCTAGCTGGGATGCTTAGAAAAAGAGTGCCCTGGAGCTTAGCACTCCTCATTGCATCAGTTGGTAGTGTGTGACCGCCAGCAAGTTTCTTAACTTGGCTGCACCCATTCCTTATCTGTAATATAGGGGCAATAAGCTTATCTCAAGAGATGACCCCATTTAGCTCATTTCTATAGAGAATTTACTTGTTCACAAAAGATGTTTAAAGTCCAAGAAAAACAAAAAGAAATTAAAAGTCACCTGTACAAACCCTTGATAAATTAGTTTGCCCTTGAACTAGGTAATTATGACAACTTGTCATAGAGATAGTCAGCATGCTGTAGGAATTTCGGGTCTAAGGGTTAGTCTTACTAGTTCTGTTTGTTAAGCAGGTATTGTCACCAGTCCTGTGCCAGCCTCTGTGCCGGGTGATAAAAGTGAACAGGTCCTCGGCCCCACCCTCAAGGAGCCTGCACTCTTGTGAGAAAGGCAGACGAGTGAATAGACAATGACAGTGCAGTGACAGCAAGGGTACAGAAGGGAACATAAACTGGACCGGAAGAGTAAGGGAAGACTTCTCAGAGAAGATGGTGTGCTCACTAGGAATTTTACAGGCAAGGGACGGAGAGGGGAAGGTGTGTACTAGGCAGAAGGGACAGAGTGGGAGAGCCTGGCACGTTTGGGAATGGGAATGCCTTGTAGCTGGCGTGTAAGGCAACTAGCCAAGGTAAATGAAAGAATGGAGAGGTAGGAAGGGGCCAGGTCAATACAGAGCTTGCGTACGTTATACTACGGAATATAGAATGTACATTCTCCTCCCCTCCCCCTAACTCCTAGGATTTTAGCTCCTAGAGATCTCAACCTAGAAATGGTTGAGATTACCTGGGGAGAAACCAGGGTTCCAGGAGAGAACAGACAGTGAGGCATACACATAAGGAGCAGAGAAGAGCTAAGAAAGAAGGAAAGAAATCAGAGAGGCCAAGAGGAGAGTTTCAGCAACGAGGGCTTGACAGGATTGAGAAGATAGAAAAGGTTTACGTTTGGCCATCAAGAAGTGTTTAGCAACCATAGAAGTGTTTTGGGGTGGTGCATAAAGCCAAATTGTGAGGGTTTGAGAGTTGGGACTGAAAACGTGGAGGCAAACGGCATTTCATCCTAGAAAAGTTTATTGGTGAGGGGAAGGAGATGGAAAACTGAAGATGGTGGCTGGAGAGAGTAGTAGCTGTGAAGGAAGTCTGCATTAGAACAAAAAACTGTGACATGCGTGTATGATGTCTGCCTCTGTGATGAGGTCCGCGAAAAGGGGACTAAAGCTGGGCTGAAGAACAGAAAGGCCAAAGCAGTTGCTGTGAAGAGAGGTGTCAACTAGCAGTTAGCGCAAGCATTGTGGAGAGCACTTGTGGAGGGCACAGCTGACGTTGGGTGGTGTGGCCGTGACGTAGAGCCAACCTGCAGGGTTATATATAGGCTCTGGAATGTGGGGACCGGATTATAGGAAAAGAATGTGGTAAAATCCCTGGAGTTGAGGATTGACACTGCAGTCCTGGGCAAGTTCTAGGGCATAAATGAGCATCGTCGGAACGATGGCCCCTGTGGTCCAGGCTGAGAAGCCGACTAGACACAAGAAGCCGAACGGGGGCTGCAGGGCAGCTGAGCTGAGGGCAAAGAGCACATACAGTGTGGTGACCCCAGCCTTCTCTCGTTACCTCACTCAGAGGAATTCGAGAAGGCAGCATCTCAAAGTCCTCAGTAAATCCTGAACCAAAGCCCTTCCTGAAGGAGGCTGATATGGTGTAGAGTTGCAAAAATCACTGGAGAGAACAATCAAGGAACCAAGAAGTAGGCTGAGAGGAGTTAAGTGGTTTTGCTTATCGTGTCACCAGATAGTGCTTGGCCCATAGTAGGCCCTCCATAAAGAATGAATGAATGAATGAATGAATGAGTGATATGGTCTAGTCGCATGGACATTGGAGTCATTTAGGGTGATGTAGGAGACACTGAAAGGTTACAGTGGAATTAGAGCCAGGAAGGAGCGGGGACATAGTGGTGAAGAAAAAATGAAACCATCAAGAATCCAGAAGAACGTGGCTCTGAAAAGGAAGACACGGGGAAAAGAAAGCCAGAGAGAATCAGGGACATCCATCGGTTTATCCTGGAATCAGGAAAGGAGCAATTTGAAAGGTGAAGAGCTTCCTTCTCCCAGCGCTTGGCAGAAGCCCGCTATCATATCAGAGCTCTGTGTTTTTCATACACATTAGTATTATGTCATTTGTGTCTCTTAAAGATTCCATATACCTGAGGTTTTGGAAGGATTTCTGAAGAATTTCTAAGCTCAGTACGTAGCGTTTGTGATACAGTTAAAGCAGGAGCTCAAGAAAAAAGGAAACAGAGGAGAAGGGAAAGGAGGTTGGCGAAGCACGCTGGACAGAGTTCCTCGCCTCCCGAGAGTCTTCTCGTATTTCAGGTTATGGCTGGTTGCTTCCCCAGATCTTTCCATGTCAGGAATAATGTCCATACTGGCAGTTACAAAATAGTCACGGGAATGGAAAATACAGCCTAGGGAGTATAGTCAGTAATAGTGTAATAACCATGTATAGTGCCAGGTGGGTACTGGACTTATTGGAGGGGTCACTTGGTAAGTTATATAAATGTCTAACCACTATGCTGCACTCCTGAAATGAATATTGATTTTCATTTACATCCCTCCCTAAGCCACCCCTAATTTATAGACTAGCTGCCTGTTAAAACATCTCTTACCCTCGTGATTTCCAATAGTAACATAATTTCTTTATTCCTGGTTCCATCCCAGGTTATTCTCCCTTAGATGTTGGCCACACCTGATCTCCCCGACAGGAACTCCCAGTGCCAGTCTTAGGGTGCCGCTAACCCCCAAGGGTTCAAGCTCCTCTTCAGTTCTTTCTTTCATATGCATTTCTACTTCATCTGCTAAAAGGACACCACACTGGAAATTCACGTCCAGTGTATGCCTTCCCCACAACGTGAGCTATTGTCTTTCTGTGTAATTCCATTCTAAATTCTTGTTTATCCCTTTGTAGGGAAGGATTTATTTTGGTAGTGTAATTTCCTCTCCTCTGGTCAGGACATCAAAAGCTC